CTCCCATAAAACAGTATAGGATTCTCTCTGTCTCTCTTTCTCTATCTCCAAAACTGGATAATAAATCACCAGATCAACTCGGTCACAATTTTTACTTCCCATTTCTTACCAACAAACGTAGTTCCAGTCTATTTTCAGAGTATTATTTCCTCTCTCATTTTAGTTGTGATACATAAGTTAGATTTAGACGCTGTTTTTAATGATTTATCAGGAAATTGTTTTTATTCCTTAGAATATGAGCATTGTGGTGTGGTTGTGTATAATTGTGTGACAGTACATTGTTGCTGGTTTGGATGTGAACTCTGTGACTCACTCGGCGTGTTTTTTTTTTTTTGTTTTGTTTTGTTTTGTTTTTTTTTTTTTACACTGGTCTGTCAATATAAATGCTTAGTAACCTGCCACAATTATTTCGCCTTCATCTCTGACGATATGTTATATTAAAGTGTTATTTATGAGGATTGGACATACTGGAATGTCCATTACTGACAGACGAAAACAAAAACTATACAAGACAAATAATTGCGACTTGAGTCCAGATAGCAGAGGTGCTTGTTTACGACGATGGTGCATCGTCAGTGGTAAGCTTAAACTCTGCATTTTCTTATTAGAGTTTGTCGGTAAAATAAACTTATACTCTGAACTGATCTACGCCATTACTGATCTACATTCTCTTCCTGGAGTTTATCGATGCAATTAACTTCCACTCGCAGCTGATCTACTACATAACTCATCTATATATTCTTACTGGAGCTTATCGAAACAATTAAAATTATCTATGAAATTAACTTTATCAATACAGTTAAGTCTATCAACTCAATTAACAATACCAATGCAATTAACTTTATCGATACAATTAACTCTATCGATACAATTAACTCTATCGATACACTACACTAAATTTCTGAACTCTACTTCATCATGAACTAGAGCTTTCATAAATAAAAAGAAGAGTACTCACATGCGTCGTACTAAAGTAAATATTTTGTACGACACATTATTTTATGAATTAACACTTTTCGGTGTCGGATAGTCCAATTTTTTTTTAATTTAATTTTTACCGAAATACGGATTTGTCCTTACCTTTGAAGGAGGCGTATTGGTGCACAGGAATAATTAAATCCGCCTTCATTTAGCTTTATTGGGTGCAGCGTTGTCTAGAGAAAGGTCATTTTTTGAGGACAAATTCAGTTTCCTGATTTTTTATATGATTTGGTATATATTTTGACTACAAATCTGTGTTCCGGACTGGAACATCGCTCGGCCAATTTCTATTCGGTAGACAAATAATATCCGAAGTAGTTGTGGAAGTATACATCAATTTGATGGGTTTTGATGATTCGCCCCAGGCGGAGTGCACCACTTATGTTAGGTCAGAAAAGGTCGGAATGTTCTTATTTTTACCTTATCTCATATTGTGTCATGTGTTCATTTGTAGTTTAGAATATATTTTTCCATGGCGGCAAATTGCATCCGACGTTTCTTTCTTGACAGAAAAGGCAGTGAATGTTTCGATTCTGTTTCTGTTTGCACTTTGGGTAAAGTTTGGTTTCGCAATATAAAAAAAAATTGCATCGACTGTCAAATAAATAGAGACAGTATGATGCACGTGCACCGGCAGAAAGAACAACGATTAACAGAGGGATAATCTATCTCTACCAATTCTAATTATCTTAGTGGCTATTCCAACGTGTAACTTGACCGGCAGAACAAAAAGATCGATCAGATTTGTTTTAAGGGTTTTTTTTGTTGTTTTTTTTTTTGTTTGTTTGTTTGTTTTTTTACAGAGAAGTCAGCCAGTTATCCTAGTAACGCAAGGAATAGAAAAACAAATACGCCACGCACTATAAAGGGTAAAAAAAATGTTAACTGTTAAAAAAAGAATTATTGATAACAAACACTATTCATCTTGTGTACGTATAAACCGCGCTGATTTTAACTTTAATTTTATCACTACTATTAGTCCCATACGTATATATTGAGACATTGGATGAAACATTACTCTATCATAGTTCATATAAAGAAAAGAATAGTTGAAAAATTTAAGGGTGAAAACTCGTGCGCCCAATGCAGAAAACGTTCTGGGAATACGAGACTAGCTACCAGTATGTCTACATGCAACTTCAACTTGGAGATTTATTGTCCGATGCTGCCTTCTTGTTCGGAATCTCTTCGACCTCTTGCCTCAGCCCTTACATGCGACACCAGCAAAGAGATTTCAAATCGCAAAACGAAACTGACAAATCATAAAACAACCTTTTCTTAGTCACCAGCCAAACTGGTAAGCTGCAAAAAACGGGAATATATTTTATAATATTTATATTTGATACCATTATAGTGTTGACCCCCATAAAGGAATATATATATATATATATATATATATATATATATATATATATATATATATATATATATATATATATATATATATATATATATGCACTCAATTCTGGCCAAGTACCTCTAGGTAGGGACCAACTAATAATATTTCGACAAATATGTTGTTTTCTTCCTTTACCTCAAAGTTAAAAAATCAAACAAAATATGACGGATTTATTTATATGTTTGCAAGTTAGAGCAGGTTTACATCTTTCAAGCTATCTGAGCGTTATATTTTGTTCCCAAAACATGGAGCAATGGAAAAGTAAATGGTATGTCATTTATATTGCTAATTATGGCAGCAACATGATAATGGATGTTGGATTTTAAGTAATTTTAACAATTTTAGTCATAACTATGATGTCTGCAGTGTGGTAGTTTATGGTGATGTCAGACACTGAAGTTCATATCCGCAGACATAAAGTATCATGTCCCACTCAGTCACATTATCCTGACACTACGCCGACCAGTCCTAGCACTAATTCCTTAATGCTAAGCGCCAAGATAGGTAGCATCAGGTACCATTTTCATAAGTCTTTGGTATAACTGGGCCGTGGTTCGAATCCGCGATCCTCCGCATCCAAAGCGGACGTTTTAACCACCTAGGCTACCGGAGCGGTGATAACAATAGTAGCAAAATCACATAGTAAATGTGTTGTGATGGTTACTCTGTCAATTCGTCCTTTCGCAACTTTGTGGTCACGTTTACTCTTAGCTATATGGATTGCTGACTTGTACGTCTTGGGGTACGCGAATGTAACGCGATACCGTCACAACATCCTTTCCTAAACCGGCCTTTAAACGTTCCGTATTCCTGAGACTGGTATTTTGCTCATCTTGATCCTATTTCACAAAAAAACAGAGAGCCAGTCATAATAGACAAATTTCATGCACCTTTCTTCGATGATATGTCCATTAAACAAACAGTATTCTTGAACTCTTGATGGCTTGTACAATTTAGGTGACGATCAATTTGCCATTGTTTTGTCCCAAGTTCTGTCCTTTCATTAAAATTTCTGATGTAATAAATCAATAAATAATTTTTTTCTTCTAAAATATAGGCTTTATATTATTTATTTATTTATTTATTTATTTATTTTTATTTATTTTTGCTCATTATTTTAGTATGGGACACAATCATTCGCAAACAATTTTCTAAGCTTTCGAGAAAGTTTCATTCCACTGATACATGTGTTTACCGGAGATCTTTATCAAACTTTCAGTAATATTCGTATACTTATTTAAAATTATTTTTATACTTAAACTCTCTGAATGTATATCTTGAAATTCCTATAAAATCTAATTGTCATCGCAATCAATGTTGTGCTTTCCATGGAACGTCGAATAGTGATATCATAACTGTTAATCAAGCTGAGGATCTCTCGTTAGAATATATAAAATTATTCTTCAATGTATATCTTACATTATTAAGTTCAGTTAAAGAAATATGATGCACGTGACTAAATTTCTTGAACAACAGTAATATCCAATGGGTTCCCATTGTAACATAATATTTGCAGATTACCCTTTAGTTTTCATTAACTTTACTGTTTGTGTCATCTTTTGTTAATGCACGCAGTAGAGAATGCGATCGTCGTCGTTAGAAACGTCCTTGAACTTTAAACCTAATTTCTCTTACTGAAGTTGATTGGTCTCTGTATGTATGTATGTACCTTATCCAAGCAGAGCTTAACCTAACAACGTTCACGACTGGGCGAAAGTACTCAACTACGTAAAACACACAATTCGATGACGTAAATTAATGTCAAGGCTAACTTATACGTAAAAGTCCGACATACCTTTCCAGTCGCTGATATTTAAATTCCTGATATGTTTAGCTTCTCTTTCGGGATAAATTGTACACGAATACAATTCTATCAGCCTGAATCAGGTATGTTTGGTGGCAGCATTATGCAAACAGATGGTTCAGGTTCTGACTTTCAGTTAGGTTGCCTACTTATAGTAATGCTCTGGTATATATTATGACCTAACTAGGTGAAGCCACGTCTCGTCATTAAAAATGGGTATGTGACCCTAGGCGCTTAGAAAAAGGTCATAATAACAATGAAAAGCGACAGCGAGTTGTAGATGCACATAAAGACATAATATTGATTAACATCAGGAATAATCCATCAAAACCTCTTTCTGTTACCTGTTTGGTTATACATACGTGTAATGGATGGACGGACTAAAAAGATAAAAACAAATGTACAGGTCTGTTATAGATATTAAAGTTCGTCAAATAACTTGGTGACATAAAGAATGCAAATATTGATAGACGCTCTCGATTCAGGCTTCAGTGCCATTGGTCAAAAGGTATTGTCATCTGTAATATTATTGATGAATATATTTCACGCTCAGTCTGGTGTTATTATATTTAGGTGAGTGTGTGATTTGAACTTATAACGTAGTTTTAACAATTATTTATTCATATCGTTACGATGTCTGCAGTGTGGCAATATATAACGATGTCTATCAATGTGGCATAATGCCGCAGACATGTAGCATGATGTCCCTCCCAGTCTTATTATCCTGACACCAGGACGACAAGTCCTAACACTAACCTCTTAATGCTGAGCACCAAGCGAGGTAGCTGCTAGTACCATTTTTATAAGTCTTTGGCATGACTCGGCTGGGGATAGAACCCACGACTTCCCACATCCGAGGCAGACGCTCTGATCACTAGGCCACCGGAGCTAGCGTATTTGCAAACAGCGCGTAGAACTTGTAATGTCAAGGTTTAGATGTATAATTTCCCGTGTATGAAGATTCGACACTGTAATGAAACTTGGAAACCTTTTGTATGCCGATGTTCTTTACAAAGACAAATTAATGTAAAAGCATTGGAAAACTTATAGGCAAAAATTTATATAATCATTCCAGAAACTGAGTATAAAAGGAAAAATTATAGTACAGATTTGAACACCATTTACTTGATCACATTCAGAATACTTAAAATTGCATTTTTTTCACTCTTCTTTCCCGCTCTGTCACCATCATCATCAACTGCTTTAAAACATCAATTGAACAGTTACTTCTTTAAAAAAAAGTAGCAAATAAGACTATTGCAATAATCGAAGAATATCCACCTTCTCCTTTTCTCCTTTCCTCCAAATTTTCTTCATTGTTAACGTTACTGCCATTTTCGTCACTAGCAGCTTATTTAAATGTGACTAATTAGTAATCTTGTCACGCTTTCATTAGCCTTAGTTGTCTCTTTATTGCTATGCATAAATTATAGACACCGAGCATGATATTTAGGCAACATTTTTTATATTAAACATCAAAGCAAGCTTGTCTACAACATAAATTATACAAATAAAAACTATCCCAAACTGTAACGAAAAACAGAAACTGTATAGAATTCCAAAAAGAAGATATTGACTTGTAAGCACGGTTTAGAATCTCCTCGTAATCAAGGCGTATATCTTGCACAGTACAAAACAAGTGATTTAAGTTCTATTTCATGAAAGACATATATCCATTCATAGACATAATTTAAGCCCATTTCTTGGACATTTATTAACCATTTTTTTTCCATGATTGACGGATGAAATTCAGGCTTTTAAGAACATCCTTCTTGACATTAATCAGTAGACGTTCTGAGGAGAGCCAGAATTTTAGTTCCTTGAAAATTTAAGTATTTCTCGCCAGACTGTCCTCGGGACGTCTGTCTGAATGTCAGGGATACGAAAGGAGAGATTCGACTTCATAGAAAAGTGCGAGTCTCGAATAAAGAGGAAGGAAAAAGTAGCTCCATATCATATTGAATAGTGGGAAAAGACTGTTGTGTGTTTGTGTGTGTGTGTGTGTGTGTGTGTGTGTGTGTGTGTGAGAGAGAGAGAGAGAGAGAGAGAGAGAGAGAGAGAGAGAGAGAGAGAGAGAGAGAGAGAGAGAGAGAGAGAGAGACGCACGACAACACCAACAACAATTTAGAAAGGACCGGAAGCACCAGGCGATGCTACCATGCCCGAATTTGATCAATCACTGGATTATATGATGTATTTTGGTCCATCAGTATAACAGAAAGGATAATTGAATTTCGTATAAATTCTATTTCTAAGAAAAAGTGAATCATTCATTTGTCATATTCAGTTTCATTTTATTTATGTAATTAAGTTGTTATATTTCATATAAGGAGGCTGGTGTTCTATTTCTTCTATATCTCTGCTCGGATTTGTTATTTCATTTATTAGTTTACCATTTTGTGTTAGTATTTACTCGATCCAGGCAATAAAACCATGGTCGATCATCTCCTTAAGATCACCAAAACCTATAAGGGGTGGGAGATCTCACAGATCTTACCATCTTTTGACATTCGAAATACTACAACTTTTCTTAAATATTCACTTTCTATTGCTGGGAAATAAATAATTTATTGCATTTTAAGAAAAATTTGGTTTCGCTCTTTTCTGTTATTTAGTGTAAGACCATAGAATCGTGGCAGAAGAAAAGGGGGATGGTCTCGACCGGCATATGAATATCTTTAAAAACTTCAATTTGATGTTTAAATTTAAATTCACTTTTATCGGAAATGTGCTTGGTCCCTTTTATTTCAGTTTCGCATATTTGAGAAATGTTAATGAAAATTCCAAGCATTCACATCTCATCTAAATCAGAAAATTGTTTTAAAAAATCCACCCCTGAAATTGTTCGAGTCCTTGCCAACGGCGAATTTCTTCAGCTTGCAGAAAAATATTATCCTTGTGAATCAAAGGATGCTTTAACGAAGCAAGAAGGAAAACATATTTTGGTTTTATATATGGGGGAAACGATTTTTGGGTGGGATTAAAGTGCTTGGCTTCTGATTAGTAGGATTTATAAGGCTCTGAAATGAAATTAAAAGAATATAAATTAAAAAGAATAGGTAAATAGAGTAAAGAAACGCAAACGCAGATAAAGGAAACGGATAGAGAGAGAGAGAGAGAGAGAGAGAGAGAGAGAGAGAGAGAGAGAGAGAGAGAGAGAGAGAGAGAGAGAGAGAGAGGGAGAGAGAGAGATGCAGTTGGAAACAGAGTGTAAACTGAGTGAAAACTGAAATGGCCAGAATGACTTTTGACTTATCATTACAAAGTGCATTTATTGGCAAAGTTAGTGAAGTCTACCCAGCAAAGATGTAGGAACTGTAAAAAGAAATGTAACAGATCCATTTTGAATTTGCACGATAAATAGAATAATTATTTGATAGGTGGTAGATCAAGATTAAGATGAACTGAGACGGCTTTTATTAGTTGAAGAGTTCAGGAATTGTGCCTGTAGTAAGGTTAATATGTACATTGATGAGCAATTTCGCATGCATACATACATACATACATACATACATACATACATACATACATACATACATACATACATACATACATACATACATACATACATACATACATACATACATACATACATACATACATACATACATACATACATACATACATAATTCTTAAGCATTCTTATATTATTCTCAAATTATTCGACATTTAATTCCAAACTACAGAAATTACAGAACTGTGTGAAATTGGTAAGCTTTAATTAAGTATAGTAATTTTTGTCTATATCTTAAATATATAATTTGATTTGTGTATAATTTGTATAATTTAGTTGAGTATAATTTATCTATATTGTGTGATGTTTAATTTCAATAATAAATTGCTGTGTTGCAGGCTTCAGGTTCTGACCTCCTTGTTATGGTTCGAACCCAGAATTTTTCTGCTCACAAAGGATGTTACACCCACATCGCAGGAGTAATACCGCTTGCAAAAAGAAGACCAGAATGATGTCTTTCTCCATCTTTCTGAGTTTTTTTTATCAATAAATTGAACATGACGAAAAGATCTTCGCTAAAAATAAACTCCCCGTAACTTTAGTTTAAAATCCTGGTTACATTTAAATCGTAAAATTATTGTTATTATTATTATTATTATTAGTAGTAGTAGTAGTAGTAGTAGTAGTAGTAGTAGTAGTAGTAGTAGTAGTAGTAGTAGTAGTAGTAGTAGTAGTAGTTGTTGTTGTTGTTGTTGTTATTGTTATAGGTTTTAAAGCTATTTTTCAGCACAAAATAAGCTATACATGGCAGCCAGTATTACTGGTGGAAGAAGAATCCTAGAAAACGCAGAGAAGAGCAACCGACAGTAGTAGTAGTAGTAGTAGTAGTAGTAGTAGTAGTAGTAGTAGTAGTAGTAGTAGTAGTAGTAGTAGTAGTAGTAGTAACCATTTTGAAGCGATGGATTGCATTTTAAAAAAAAACTGAACTTAACCGCTACATCATTTAGTTCGGACAGATTTGTGCTTATAAAATGGGGGAGTTCAAGATGAGGAGCCTTAGAGAGAAAGCAGAAGAAAGTGTTGGGCAAGAACTGCACCTGTCCAGGTTCCAATTAACTTTGTCCTTGAGGCTTGGTTTCCATTTTGTTGTTCGTTTTGTAGTTTACATGCGTGTCACTTTGTATGTGGTTGACCCAATCATGGGAATCAATCTGCAGACGGGAAGGAAGAGATACCTTCATCATGTTTCCTAACGCGTTTTAAGAAGTTGCTTTAAGTATTCGGGTATTCATAGTGTGAAAAAGTTACTGAAACTGGATAGCAAAGGATATTAAAGAAAAAATTTTGAAATTTAATTTCGCTATATCTGATGATAATTTTAAGTCTGGCGAGAAAATTATTTTAATTTCTTCACGTCTCGTATAATCAGTTAAGAATGATATATATGAAAATTATTTACTATTTGTTTATCACAAACTAACAGCATGTCTCAGTCTAAACTTTTATGTGGCAAAGTTGTTCTGGTACAGAGATATTGGCATGGTTTATGAATTAAGATTGTATTAAATTATGTACATCTTCCTCCATTGAGATGTTTTGATGAGAGGGATTTACATTGCTAGGTCCTGGCTGCCGAACCGATGCCTCTCGATTTCTTGGCCGACATAATCGATGAGTGGCTGGAAGAATACAAAACACAGCCTGCGCAAAAAATAAAACGTCAATCTTTTTGAACAAAGATGACGTCTTTCTTATCATTCTTTTATATATTTTTATATGTGCTTCTTATCTACTAAAGAGAAGCTTTATATAACGTGTTGTAATGCAAGTAATGTTTCTAATTAAAAGGATTTTTTGTAATAAATTAAATTCATTTGTAAAATATTGTTATGTCAGTTTGATGACATTTTAGTCAACACAGTTTCCACACTATATATATATATATATATATATATATATATATATATATATATATATATATATATATATATATATATATATATATACTAAATACACTAAATACGCACACGCATACACACACACATATATATATACATATATATATATATATATATATATATATATATATATATATATATATATATATATATATATATATATATATATATATATATATAATATATATACATATATATATATATATATATATATATATATATATATATATATATATATATATATATATATATACTAGATCACGCCGTGTTGTCAGTATCAGAAAGTCCAGATCATTACAAGACGCGATATTGACAAAGATACGGGATCCATCATTCAAAATCGCATTACCGTAATAATGTTATTTTGTTATATACCTATTAATTTTGAAATAATTATAATATTTAAAATTCGTTACGGAAGAATCTCACGATCGTTATGAATTACGAAGATCCTTAAATGAATGTACTGTAATGTTTT